AAAATATCTTTCCTTTTCTACCCCTGGCAGAAGTAATTTACAGTCCCTTTTCTAATCATGGGAGATATGTGATTTGAAACAGCATTCATGGATGCTACAGCCAAACTATCACCTCGTACACGAGAGACCCCATGCTGTCTATAGCCAAGCAGGACCACAGGGTGACTCGGCTTCCCACTGCTCCAGCAGGATTCTGGGCTGAATCTTGGCCTCCCTGGCAAATACCACTTTAGTACCAAATTCCTCCATGCAGAGCTGAAATACTGTCTGCAGTAGTTGGTTCTGGGCAGCTGTGCTTTAGGTGACATGCAGGTATTAAAGAGTAGAAGCGACAATGGTGGTGAAGGCGTTCTAGAAGTGACCGTTCCCGTCAGTTTTCTTGGATTTGATAATGAAATGATAAACAGATGGATCATGACGGATGACTTCGGACAGTTCTTATGCAGTGCCTTTTAATGCTCTGGTTTTCGCCCTTAAAAAAGGTTTTAAGTTTAATTTCTCTTTTAAAAAGCCTGCTGTGCACCTGCTCCCTTTGGAAAGGCTGGAGTCCATGAACAGCTTTATCATACACAATACAAGGGTCTGTGGCTACTACTTATCACATTCATTCTGACTCTGTAAAACTGAAGGTCACCGCATTGAAATGAAGTTTCAATGTTTTTATTCAAAGCAGCTTCTCACAATGTATAAATACTGCATATTAACACACATGAAAAATACAACTTCTAAGGCACCCAGAAATGTGTCCATACACTAGTTACAGGACCATCGACAAATAAATTGTGTACAATTTGATCTAGACAGTCAATATCTGATATATCAGAAGATACAAGTCCCTCAGTACTGTACCAGTTTCAGAAAATATTTACAACACTGTGACATAGGGGTGCCTGTACCCTTATAATATTATAATATGTACTCATCATTACAAATATTAGAAAGTGTTTTCGTCTGTTCCATGGCATTTGACAAAATAACTTAAGGGCCTAATTTGCAAAGTTCTATAATTAATTCTTTGTGCAAGTTCTGAAAATAAGTTTACATTGACGTAATTTGTGAATTTTTGGTTCTTTGCTTCATCTCAGAGGTTTGGTAATAAGCCTTACCAATAGACATGCCATCCCAGCTGAACGTCACTCCATTCCCAATAGGTCAGTGGATACATCTTTTCCCCTTACACTTGACATGGATGAGAATGCAGTGTTTGTGGCAGAAAGAGACTGATCTCCAGTATAAACGTCAAATCAGTTTACCGGTGAAGGAACTAATGCTTTGTTAGAATAATGTGATTCTTTGGTCCTTTGTTTTTATGGAAGGCATAATATTTTTATTCACTAAAAATTGAAATCCCGTCTGTGAGTAAGCAAGCTAGTGAATGACTTTCAGTGTAGTATTTAAAGTAGCAGTAAAGAGATTTAATATGGCTTAAAACATACGGTTAATTGGGCAGACACAGATAACACATCTAGGATACCGAGTACCCAAATGTACTATAAGATTGTCTATAAGTCTCTTATGTAAACTTCTTTAGTGTCTCCTAAAGAGCGCTGGCTTTAGCCAGATTTGACTTTTATAGACCCAGCCACACAAAGCCTGAGATAAACTACTGTGGTTGGGAGCACAAATGCACAGTTTATATGTAACAAAGCCCATGCTGACAAGTCTACCTATGCTGTTCAAAACAACCCGTATTACCCTTTTCCCAGGAAAAACTTAAGGCCCTGTACTCTGATTTGCTAACTTTCTTACAGCAATTATTTGGGGAAGTCCTTAGCACTACATAAGCAATTTATGTAGCTTTAAAGATTTCTTGTACCTAATGGTAAGGCTTATTCACAAATGCAATAAAATTACATTTTAAAACTGTAAAGGCTGGCAAAATAATAAAAAAACCCAAACCAAGACAAAATAAAACAAACCCCAACCAAAATTGTTTGTTTATCCCTACCATTAAAAGAGCCTTTCATTCTAATGAAAAACTATTGGCACAAAACCATTATATTAGAGATTAAAAGAACAGTTAATAGTAGTGAAAAAGATTGCCTAAAACGCATACCCTAACCTACCACAGAAATATAAAAGTTTATATTCTGAAAATATATACTGTATTAAAGTTTGTAAGCTTATTCATTTAAACAGAAATGTACTGAAATAGTAAACTAAGCAACACTTATCTACAGCAAAAATATACATGCAAGACAACACAAAATAAATTGCTTACCTTTAATATCTACAAATGCAAAACTGTAGATTTTTAAAGATTGTACAAAACAATTTACACAAGAATAAAATAACATACTTAACAACAAATTGCATTTATAATCTTAAATACTGTGAATATTAGTAAAGGTACCCAGACTAATATGTACAGTACATCTAGATATCTGAATACCTAGTAAGGACAGAAACACAAGAGAAAATTGATTTCTGATCTTTAAATACTGGAAAAGAAGCTTTTGACATTGTTATTACTCTTTTTGGAAGGGAAAACAGAGTCCATGAAAACTAGATTGTAACTGTATAGATATGAACAATTAAAAATGTTAACTATGGTTAGCGCTTGCTTTAATGGAAAAATAACTATAGAAAAATGTATTTCAACCATTCCTTTGTCATAAAAAATGCTAAGATACAGATATCTGAAAATTCAGATGACATGATGCAGTTTAAAGGTCTTAACAACTTAACGATTCTTCTCTGAACATCTCATCTGGAAAGCATACCTTCACATTGCTGAGCAATTTCTCTACATCTATCTATCTATCTACAAAACCCAAGCACAGTATTGAAATAAACTTCCTAATGTCTTATTAGCACATGACTAGGAGTTATGGCTCTCTGGACGGGCATAAAGGAAATGAAGGAAATTGAGGAATCATGGTACTTTCCATTGCTTTTTTCTTTTCTCTTTCTGAAGTCATACGCTGGACTGTGTGAACATGTGCTTTGCATGTGAGTGGCTTCCATCTGAGTAACCCCTCTCATTTAATGCCATCCAGGTTGACTCGTGTACACAAGTGGCAGAGCAGGGTGTCCCATGGCCTTGACCCAGCCGCGTCCCTGCACTATGTGGCCTTGCTGGCAGGTGGTGGACATAAGCAAGTGTTAGTCTAAAACAAGTGGTGCACCCATCACTTCAAATAGTTACTGAAAGAGTTCAGTTTCAGATGTTTAAGTTACTTGTTCTGGTATTTCTTTTGTGAAAACCATTAAACGGGCTAATTAGAAGCCAGATTTTGTCTTTTTAATGAAGAACTTCCATGAGAATTTCTGCCTTTAAAGTACTGATTTCCTTAAAACTCAGTGGTACAGCCAGGTTGTAGAAACAGCACTTCTAATTATTAAGAAAAAATAACGTTACATTAATGTGTTTAAGGTTACTGTGTCCTGTAATTACCTTTAACTTTACAAAGGCTTTGTTGAAACTCTTCATGGAAATACCAGGAGGGAGAAAACCCAGCGGCTTCATTTGCAGAGGTTTAAACCATAACCAAGTAATTGAGCTGAAGGATGGAGAGCAAGTGCACAAACCACAAAGCAAACAAATGTGCAAAGCTTCTGCTTCAAGAGGCGCTGGTTTGGACTGCAATGGCAGGGGGAGTCACAGAGCATGCTTGTGTTAGTTCCCTATTAATTGCTTCACTAACAAGAAAAAACTTGGAGATCCAGTGTTCAGGAGTCAGTCAGTGTCACTGAAAAGTACTAGGATCACATTCTAAAAGAGCAGACTGTATTTTCGTCGTTCATTGTGGACTGCTTTTATGGATAGCCTTAAGTTCCTGTACCAGATGGTGGGGTGGCCAGATGTGGAGAGCAAAACAAAACCGCTCCTTCCACTTAGTTCAATACCTAGCACCTTGTATAAACTGTTGGCCTACACCCAAAGGCCTCCAGAGCAGGAATTATCTCACACCTGAGGAATCAGGCAACTAGGCTAAGGCTCATAAGGAGTTGCTTTTAGACTTCAGACCAGAAGGGGATGTTTAAACCTGAAAAACAGTACAATGCCACATAATGGCACCACTCACCCTGTTACTGGTATCCGGCTAACAGGAATATAGTAAACTTAAATAAAGCATCTCATTGGCAAGCCCTTCAATGCTCCTCAAGAAGGCAGAGAGTGAAGAGAGACTTAAGAGGGACTCGCTGCTTCAGAATCCACTTTTTCCCCTTTAACCCTTGCAAATGAATCTATTCCATACATTTTTTTGGTACAATTTTAAACACAGAGAAGCATGCACATGGCTGTTTCTTTTACTGCCCACAGCATCCTGTGTGTCCCCTATATATTCTTTCTTTTCCTACACAATTTGCTGCTAAAATTGTGTTTGTATTCCCATGTGATGCCATTAATTCAGTCAAGGGTAGTATGAAAAATAAGATCTGTGACCAGTGAACAGCTGAACATGAACACAAAATAAATAAGTTAAATAAATTCAACAAAGAAAAAAATCCTAGTAGTTTTTGTAAAACTAACTTCACATATTATACATATAAATTATCAGATTTTCCCCTTACATTGTTAGAACTTAGGAAAAAAAAAATCAAAATATTTCTAAAGCATGATGTTTGGGTCTACAGAATATTGTGCTGACCCAGTTTTTAGATTGAGCCCTCTGTGTCAGCCCAGATGTGTGGCAACAGCAAGAGTAAGTTAAGAAGGACAGACAAAATAAATCATTACAGATGGTGTGCCTTACTGGGCCTCAATGGTGCTTCTCAGCACATGGAATGTATACTTCTACCTGGATAAGCAATGTGAAAGATGCAGCCCTCTGTAGAGATTATGTGCACTGAACAAGCCTGCCTACGTCTCGGTTACACAAAATCAGACCAGCTACAAGCAGCTGTGTAGCTCACAAGGAAATCGACACAACCATATGTATTAGGATACACTGTCACAAACTCCTCATAGATGCATTGCCTCTGCTTTTCAAACACAGGTAACATTTGACTCTGTTCACAACTGGAGTATTTTCTCTTTAAGTTAAGCCAAGACATCAGACTTCATATATTTTGTCTTGCAGGTAGCTGAATAATGAATCCAGTCCTTTGGAAGAGCTCCACAGCTGTTTTTCTTTCTCATTCACATCTTCAAGTCCAGATTTCAGGAAGCTCCGCACGAGACATTTGGACTCTTCCAACACCTAAAGCCAAAATATCACTCAGTATCTCATTTTGCATCTGAAAAAGTTATTACGGATAATGGTGCGAACAGAATTTTTACACTACTGACTCTGTTTTACAATTTAAATAACTCCTTTGGGCACAGAAACTAGACTTGATTTACGGCCATAACTCCGCTTGCTGATAGTCAGCATCTTTAAGAATTAAGGACTTCTGAAGTTTATGTGGTAGTGCCAACATTTTTAAAAGGAATGAAGGACCTTAGTTTATTGAAGCCATGAAGCACTAGACAAAGCTGAAAATGTTATTACCCCTTGAAATGAAAATGTGTGAGGCACGATATACTGGCTACCTGCTTTCTGGAAGGTAGTCTTTAAGGTTACAGAGGTTGGAAACCCCAGTGTGGATGTCCATCATCTTTAACAATTTTCCCTCATGCATCCTTTATTTATCAAAACAGAAATGAACAGGAAACGGCCTTTACTGCAAATACTTTCTATTTCCTAGACCCATTTTTAAACACAGATTACAGCCTTTAAAATCTTTTTTGAAATATGTAACGTGTATGTACCTCATAAAGAACCCAACTAGACAACCTAAACCATTAATAATTCATACATTACTGTTTTTTTGAGGGTAGAAGATTTAATGTGAACTAATGCAATGTTTATGGTGAGGGAGATGCACATCCTCTACTCAGCTTTGTCAACACCTACATGCTAAGCCCAGTTCTTATCAAGTTTAGGTTACAGCACTGCTATTCCAAAGTACTATTTCTCTTTAACTCAAGTAGATGGTGTTAATTGCAAATCCTGGGGCCTGTGTGTTCTTTAGGTCTGTTTGTGAACAAGTATCCACAGTTGAACTTGGATGAGCTCATCATATTAATTGTTTTTGTGACTTCAGCCTGATTTGCATTTAGGATCTCAGAAAGTAAATTTTGTCTCTGGCAGTTTTAACCCTCATCTTCATCCACAAGTTAGCACCAGTCTTTCTAATAGGTCTCAATAGAAAATTCCCTTGACAGCCAGAACAGTGAAGGAAGGAATAATTCACAATGAAGCCCAGAGGTTTTCCCAACTCATATAATACACGTTATATCAGCATGATCAAATAAGCTTGTGCTACATTTCCAGAGAGTTTCATTCAGAATGTCTTTTCAGAAGATCTAATCTACACTTCATTTAATTAAAAATCTTCTATGTCTCTACCTTCTCTTTTACAACAGATCTCTTAAATGGAGGGATGCTAAGAGTTTCAGGCATAAGAAGTATAGCAAGAAATCACAACAGTGTGCACTTCAGCTACAGCAGTTTTACTGCAGCCAGTATCACTTTCTTCACTTCGAGCATTTTGGTTTTTTTAAACAAGGATGTGCGCAGAATAGGAGTGTATTTGCCTGAAGGGAAAAACCTTAGGAAGTAAAAATAGGAAAGGATTTTCTTTCAACTTCAATGTACACAAAAGGAAAGTTATAATACACTGTGACTAGACTGTGTTCAAATCCCTCTGTGTCTGGATCTCACCTCTCCTTCACAGCAGAGCTTAGCTGGCACTATTCTACCCTTCTGGTGCCTTCTTCTGCACATTCTGCAGAAGCAGGAACTATGCAGGTGCAGAGAAAAAGGCAGATTCAGTTGAAATGTAGCAGGCTAGGACATCGTGAAAGTCAAATCTATTTTCTTACTGTCCTTCCTTACTGGACCTACACAGACTTCCCAGTCCAGTTGTATCATTTCAGTCTCTTCCACCTTCATGAAGAAAACCTCTGCTAAAATCCCCTTTCAAAATCTGAGGCAAGGAAGTTCTACTCATATTGAATAAATGTGAAGATGGAGAAAGGAAATAATTCTCCCTGCCCCTGAAAAATGAGAAGCTCCATGAGCTCACGGATCCCTATCCAGACTGTCTGTTATTAGCCTTCTTTCAGAAGCACGGTTGTGGAAACTGAGGACCCAGCATGTGATGAGCCTTTGGAGCACACCTTACCTCTGTGAAATGTAGTTTAATCACAAAGGAGTTTGATTTCTTACCACTGCACTGCAGGATGCCATTTCCTTCACTCGTAGCATCACTTCTTGGCTAAACGTTGTTGGCCAAAATACTTGTGACACTAGTCCTCTGCTGCAGGCTTCCTGCGCTGTCAGCTTTCTCCCACAGAACAACATTTCATTGGCCTGTGAAATCAAAAGATTACTTGTGATTGTGTGTTATCATTCTCTTGAAGGTTTTTCCATACTTGCCTGCTATTTTCAGGATTAAATTTACAAATGGTCTCCTGTATCTTTCCATACTGCAAAACACTTTAAAAGGAGTTTTGATAGCTATTTAAGGATTGTGCAGGTGGCCAGAGCACAGCATGGGTTTCATTTAAGAGAAATGTGCTGGCATGCATGATGAATCTGTATTGCTGATTTTACAAGAGTAACTGTCAGTACTACTGTGCCAAGAGTCATGGATCCTAGTATAAAATACTCTGTGGGGCAAATTCTGCTTTGTTATACTGCTAGAAACTAAGCAACCTTACCGGAATTTCTATGGACTGTCTTTAGAGAGCAGAGGGCAGTTTCTTGTTTTGCTACTGCACAATCCTATCATGGTACAGACAAGGACTCTGTAACACTACTCTGCTAATGCATTACTTCCTTTTTCTACCATGATCTTGACAACCTTTGCTTTTTCAACCTGTGTTTAATCTTTCCTGTGTACAGCATGTACTGAATTCTGAGGTCATTTTGTGGTAAGAAATTGGTAGGGATTAGATGAACTTTCCAGAGATTTCTTTTCCATTCATGACAATTAAGAGAACAGTTGTTTTCTGCTTTACTTTTTAAAGAGAGAAAGAAGAGTGTGGATGTAAGAAAGGTTCTTCAGCAAACTGAGGTGGAAAACCTTACCAGTGCAACCCCCAAAATTTGTGGGAATGTGTATGATGAGCAGCCAGCTGGAGTGAGTCGGATTGTTGCATATGGTGTCTGAAACCATGCCTTCTCACTTGCCCAAACGATATCACATAGCGGCAAAATAGAAGCTCCTAACCCAAGAGCAGGGCCGTTGATAGCAACCACAATGGGCTTCTTAAACTGAATAAAAGCTTTTACAAAATCCCTAAAATAAAAAATAAAATAAAGACCTTGAATACGCAGAAGTAACACTCAGATAAATACCCAAACTTAAAGTACTTAATCTGAAAACAAATTAGAACCACAGATGAACACAGTAAATGCCATTGCCCAGTTTTACGAGGTCAGAATTGCAAGATACTTTCTAGTTTTCACACAGAAAAGTTTGCTTCTATTTAGTTATTTAATCTTTTGAGTACTTGGGGTATTAAATAGTTTTGTGTATGTTGTATGTGAACTGATTAATTGGAACGCACTGACTTTTTGCCGTGTTTGGTTAGGTTTAGTTTTACTTCTGGAATAGTAAGTCATGAGTTTGTACACATAGTGCTTCTCAATTTGCTCCACAATGGCTAGTATGGATTCTGACGATCTGGTTTGGGTAACTTGATGAACATATTATAACGTGAAAGAGAGAAACCTCATACGTGGATTGATGAACAGTAATTTTCTAAGTTCTCTTAAGACTCTATGTCAGATGTTACTGCAAGTTCCATCCATGGATTGGGAGACAGTAAACGTTTCTGGCACACCAGCAGAAAGAAAATGACCCACAAAGGGGAGGCAGAGAGAGAGAGAGAAATGTCTGAACAGGATAAAAACTAGCCAACTGATCTGTTGGGTCTTGGTCTTCACTGCAAATGTCTTCGGCAAAGATGTAACAAAGTAGATGCCCTTGACTGCACAACAGTAAATGTGAAGAGATGGGAAATAATCGGGAACTAAATGTGATTGGATTCATCTGAATGAACTAACTAGAACATGTGAAATTCTATGCAGTGAGGAGATACTTAAAATAAGCTACCTACCCGCAATGGTGGAAAGACATCTGTTGAATGGAACAGCCTATACCCCAATTAGGAAAAAGCATGAGTGTAATTGTGGGCAAATTATGGGCTCCAGCAGCTCAGTGCACAGCAGGTACATGGAGGGAAATGAGATGCTCAATTACTTTAGAAAAGAGACATGTATAAATCAAACTCAAAACAAAAGGGGAGAGTCTGTTCCTGCAGTGGTTCACACACAGAGTGCCTCTCCGCTGACAGATTTGAGGAAAGAACATTTTATCAAATGTGCCCTTTGATGGGTTATGGCTCTGCCACTGAGGTCGAAAAGACCCAGATTTCTGTATCTGAGAGCGGGGGCTGTGCCTGGCAGGTTAGAGTGCCCATCTGGCAAAAAATGGAAGGTACCAAAGAGAAGTGTTCATGGAGCAAGGGCATTGTCTGTATTTTAAATGAAAACAAAGAGCCTGAAGCAAGCCAGCATTACACATTCAATGAGTGAGTTCTGTTTTTCAGGCTACCAAGTAAGGCGTTGATTTTTGACCACGGGAAAAAAGAGACTCGTGGGTTTGATGAAGCTCTCTTCACACTGTGAGTAGTAAAACAGAAGATCGGTGGCCAAAGAGAGTGGAATAAGGAACTTACTTGGCCTCTGAGGACCGTTTCTTTCTAGAAGCAGGGTTACGAAGACTTGTGGTTCATTTTTGTTTGCAGCAGCAAGGCTGTTCCCTTACCTCGTTATTTCTTCGTCTGTTTATGGTTGAGTAATGACTGTGGATCACAGCACCTTAATTGCAGAATTTTGACAGCCTTAGTAAGTAAGCCTTCCAAGTAGGACTACAGATGGGAACAGGGATGTGATGAATGATAGGTAAAAAGAGCAAACTATGGATAAATGCTGACAACATATGAGGACCATGTGGAGGCAGAAGAAAACAGTGCAGTGGAGGAAAGCAGGAAGGATGTGTTGATAAATGGGACTGGGAATGAATATGGAAAAGTCATTAGGAATGTGCAGAGGAAGCAGTTAGATGATGGGGAGGAAGAAAAAAGAAGAACATATTAGTGAAGGGGAAGAGCTAAAGGAAATGTGATATCTTCATATAAGTGAGCAAGGAAGGGAGCATCTGGAGATGCGGAGAGAGTGGAACAGAACACTGAGAAGACACAATAAACCTCTGCCATGGGATAGGATGCCAAGGATGGGAGCATAGAGGATGGTACCATGGATGGGTGTGGAACATGCTACCTGTAGGATGGAGTAGAAGGCAATGATATTGGCAGCTTACGAGGGGAACAAATGCCTGCATTTGGTCTACACAAGCTGCAGTGTCCATCACTCCAATTATCTGTGTTCCCTGTTTGGTACATTATCCGTTTCAGTGAATTGTCTTTGTACCCAGAACCTGGCATGCCTCTACATCTCTGAATCGTAAGTTTACACCTGCAGTTTCTGGGCTAGAAGATCCTTGTTTTGATCCAAGGCAGTCTTCGAAGATGACTTAAAATTGTAACTGTTGTTCCACAGTAGAGCCAGAAGGGGAGAAGTCACATGCAGAAGGCTTCTGGTTTTGCTAGAGGATGTCTGGGAAGCTGAACATCAAATACACTTTGGAATGCTGCAGGCCAGGGCTTGTAAGTCAAAGGCTATAAAGAAGTTGAACGAAGTCATCCTTCTCTGTTTTCTTCTGAGGATACCCAGAATTTTTTGTATCGACTCACATAAGGATGCTTTACGGATGATGTGAGACTGATGCTGGGAATGCCTTCCAATGGAGCTTTCTCCTGCTAGGCTCTGTAGGCTACGTACATGCAGCTGCAGTGGAGTTTGTCTGTCTGCCTCTTCCCTGCTCCTGGAGTGACACACATCTGGACGGTGGCAGCTCGGGCTGATTCAGTACCTGCAGAGGAGCTACAAGGCCACGCACAAGCCCCAGAGGCAGTGGATGAGGACAGGGGCCAAATGAATAAATCATTCATATAAGATGATCATAGAAGATGGGTATTTAAACTTCATTTTTGAGTTGTGATCACTGTATGAGATGCATACTTCAAAAAGTGGAAACATACAGTAATTGAGACTTTAATTTCATTTTGATACAAGTCTAACTTGATGTACAGCAGTGGCAGAGACCCATTCATGTGTTTGAGGACATCCTAACCACTGAAAAAGCAAAGTGTATGTTTTTTTTCTACTCGTATTACAGTATATTTTCCATGAGTTCAGTCTTTTGTTCACATAAAGCACAGAGAGTGCTAAATGGGAAACCTAGTATATTGTTTCCAGAAGTACAATAAAAATCTATTTCCAGTGGCCTGAAGCCGATGATCTTGACAAGGAGCAACGCATTGTACCAGTATTTCAAAAGTGTTCTGTGAGTCCAAGGATAGAAAAACTGAGTATTACAGTCTATTTTATACTCATTTATAGGTTGAATTGATAAGTATAACTGTATATTAAATGTGTGTGGATAAATGCATACATATGTAACAATACCTAGCTACATAACATTTACATGAATAATATTAAGTTTGTGTCTTCTAATGCAGTGCGAGCATGTCTGTGTTTTCAAACAGTAATACTGATTTTCTTTCCTCACTTATTTTGGTTCCTCATTATTTAAAATCCCTCACATTAAAGTAAAAAATAAATTAGGATCTGTCCTCCAAGGGGTTTTTCTTTTTTTAACTATCACTAAATGATATTCAAGCATAGCTAGGGTCTTAAAAACAGGTTAAAATTTGTTATATTATTTAATAAGTTAATTTTAAGTTATTTCAAAATAATTACTAATTTAAGAATTTCAAAAGTATTAAACTGAATCCAAACTGATCTGCAGTAGTTTTCACCAAGATAATTGGTGGTTAATAAATGTCATGTAATAACTAAACCTGATCTTATGTTATACTAACACATGCATAGATAGATCTGTTGTAAAACAAATTCTTTAATAGTCCTTCATAGAATTGTTGCAGAAAGTTTTAAAGCTCTCAGAAGAGTACTATTTATTTGTAGAAAGTGGGGGGTCAAAAATATGGACCAAACCCTCTCCTGGTACAGACTGGTGAAATACTATTGGCTTTAGTAGAGTGATGTTGATTTATACTGGAAGATTTGCCAAATATGTATAAAAAATACCTTGTGGATAATAGAAATATTTGGTGATACATTGTACAGATTGATTTGTAGACTGCATGTCATAAACCCTGCATTTCTATTAAGGTAATGTGATTTATATATACGGGAAGTCACATTTTAGTTAGGAAAATAAAACTACATTTACATATATATGAAGTTATTTAAGTTTAAGAAAAAGAGTGGAGACCCTTCTAATAAGGTTCTGAAATACAGTGGCAGACTGCTATTTCAACAGAATATGAGTAAGCCATGGGTTCTTGTTTGTACTGAAATTCATTACAATGATTAACATCAAAACAAGTAAAGTCTCTGCCTTTCAGAAACCACTTTAGAACATGATGCAATAACTAATTTGGATAAACAACAAAACTGTATTTGAATTTGGAGGAATAACTTCAAATATTAAATACAGAGAACTGGAAAAAAAAGAAATCCCTGTGGATATCAGCACTGGAATGAATGTGCATTGTTTTCTAACATTGAGATGGTCCAAGGTTCTTACTGAACAGATTTGTAGGACTGTAATTAGAATGCAATCAACACTTAAAAATACAACATTTTTTGGACCTGATAAATATCTTTATAATCACACACTGCATTTCATAATTTAGAGATCATAGGTAAGCTTGGGTCACCTTATAGCTTCTGCAATCCTAGTGCTTTCCTTTCTTCTGTCATTGGATAACCTGCCAATTAAATATGAGTAATCTAGGCCACTACAGAATACACTTCCCACTGCGCTGAGAAGTAAGAGTTTACTGTCATCAGCTGATGCATTGCACAATGCTCTCCGAACTTCCTTCATGATCTGTGGATAAAGAAAAGTAAACAATTCGACATGCATGCCGTTGCAATATCATTTCCCTAGTTTTACAAACCTTATTGTTTTTGAGAGACTTAAATTTTGGGCACTATTAATACTTACATCAACTATATATATATATATTTATCTAATTTTAACATACTTAGAATGAGAACATTGAGAGTTTACAGAGTATTTTATATTTGGAAGTGCTTTGTTGATGATCATTAATTCAAAGAGTTTTTAGTACTTGGCTATTCTTTGCTTTTTGCTATGGGAAATTCTAGCCATCTTATACTATCTGGTTGCAATTTGATAATTTCAAATACCACTTTTTTGTTTTCATCGGGTATATTCAGTGGAGATATATATATATATTTCACTGCTGTATCTTCAGTAAAATAGGTGTCACAACAATAACCTATTATCCTCAACAGGCTGTGAAGCAAAATCTATAAACGTGAGTTTTCAGTTCTTCAACTATTTTGGTTTATATGACTTTACCAGAGCAAAGCAGGACAAGAGGACATCACACACATCAACATGACAAATATGTTATTCATTTTTCTGTGTTCAATGATACTGTTAAAGTCTACAAAAATTAGAGCAAAAAAAGCCACTTGAAAGAGAGACACTTCTACTCTGATTTACAACTAGATAAAGCTAATAGTTGCACCATAAATCAGACCTAATCAAAATCTATACAGAACTGAACTGCTGGTATTTTAAGAAAATGGCCTTTCATTTTCTTACAATGAGCAGAGAATTGTTTCCCTAATGATTTTTAAAAGGAAGTATTATTTCATGAACTTCTGATGGTAACTTCTTGTTTGGTCACCATTCAGCATGGTTTGTTCAGCTGTTACTGATTTCAGCTACTGCAGCTTCCCCTCTTCCCTTCAGTGATTAGTTCCTTACTCGAAGGGCCCTGAGTTCATCAAGTGCAACACATCCTTTGCTTAAACATACTCATGTGTCAAAGTATTTCTTATAGACAGGGTCCTGTTGAGTCAATTTTTTCTCTTTTGTACTCCAAGATTTGCTGTTAGTGTAAATTTAGGCAAAAGATAGCAAAAAGTGGTTAGGGAATTAGATATGGTTTCCATGTAAAAGAACCCAAGATTTTAGGCTTTGTTAGTATTGTTGTTCACTACTTTCTGTTTCCAAAAATACTTTAGATCTCTGAAGTGACTTATTTAAGAACTGTCCCTAAACATGTAAGCTTTGTTTATACAAAAACTTACAGGTTTTTTATTAGAAATCCTGTGGCCTGTGAGACCAAGCTTGAACCAGTATGCTCAAACCCTGCAGTGTAATGTTACCTGCCTGCTTTCCATGCATGTTTGCATACAAATGATTGCTACTGGCTACTGAAACCAGGACGGGAGAATGCAGGTACTGAACTTCTCGAGGCTTCACTTTTGTAAGTGCACTTCAGAAAGCCTGTAATACCGAGTATGTGACAGTGGGTGGAAGTGAAGTAATTAAAAGCAGCAGAATTTGGCAGTGTATTTGAAATTCTTGTGCAGGTATGAAAACGTCATCAGGGATTTTACAAGTATATTGCGTAATTCCAGAGTCTCAGAGGCTGTGTCAGTCCTCAGCTGGTAAAAACACAGTAAAACTACACATTTTGTAAAGGAGAAACAGAGCAAAAACCCCTAACGCCTCTGTTCAAAGTTAAAAAACAAACTTGAGAAGGTGGTAGATGTTAGAATACAAAAACACATGTATTTTGATATTCCTAGTTCCGTGTGAATGCAAGACTGTCCTCTTAGTTTATTTTAAATGTTCTCAAAATCTGCTCTTTCTTAGGGAGGGTGTATAAGTAATACCAGGGAACACCAGTCAAATGTTTTTTATATACAATGAGAGTGCTGCTTTATCATTCATCAAGTTTCTTTACCACTCCCTTTCCTCAAGTGATATCTGTATATGTACCATCTCTTTGATGGTATCACTGCTATCCTTCAAACACATCACTACCGTTCCAAACCTGTCTCTTTTTTACCTTGGCCCTCATTGATTTTGATGATTAAAGCCATCTGAAAGTATACCAAATTTCTGAGAAGAGCTGATACTACTTGCAGGAAACTGCAATATTCTGCTATCACTGTTTGGTCTATGTTTTGGACAGGCTGATATTAAAAGCCTGTTATTAGGAATTGACTTCTCAGATATGGTGTAAAATGGGAAGGCTGTGACAGTATTTTTATAGTATGTTTGAGCAGGAGTGGAAATTTAGTTCCACTGCTCCACTAGATCATAGCAAAAGAAACAGTATCAAAACCAGGAAACCATAATGTGATGTTTTCAGGCTCCAAAAACTATTATTTCTTTGAAATCTGCAAGCTTGTCGTTAACTTTATAACCAAAAGGTGCTCAGAAACTCACGGGAATATACCAATGCCAGCAAAGTCAATCCTCACTCCCTTGTTCTATGCCCAATCCTGTGCTGGTGCAGTCCAAAATCCACCTGGTCACCTTGTCACTCAGCCTGGTTCTAGCCAACCTCCTGTCCACTGTTGCTTCCCAATGCGTTGGCATCATGGCTTTCCTCACCTATTATCTGGGTATGGGTATTTTTCCATACATGTTTATATGATTATAAGAAAGTTACTAACAATAAAATAAAGAGAAAAAAGAAGGTTTGTCTATAGGGTTGCAGAACTGTGTGTTAAACTGCAGTACTGTAAAGTAAATGTCATTTTGGGTCAGAACTGCAGTCTGGTTTTAAGCACACAGTTCCATTAAATGCTGTAGTGAATTCAGTTTGCAAATATAGAGATATTACGTGTCAGAGTATATATTCTTTTTTCCTCTTCCACAGTCTTTAAACCTTCCCTCATTTTGGTCTAACTATGGCATATGTCTAATAAGATTTTACTTTTCCTAGTGGACCATATCTAAAATGCACAAGGCTCTGTAGCAGTATTCTCCTGTTCCATTGGTGGGGTTTTTTTTCGTTAGCTCTTTATGGTCTTTTAGTTGATTTTCAGTTGTGGGGACAGTATTTCTATTTGAACACATCTAACTAAAATTTCTGAGGAAGTATTTACAAACCAGTGTGGGCAGGTTATTTAGCTTATGATAATTGACTGGATTATAAATTTAGACCAGGCTTAATGCTTCACCAACTGTCTTACTGAAACCCAAATATATAATTAAATTATCACTTTCTCAAAAGTTCCGTATTTTTCTGATCCTGTCACGGATTAAATCCTGGTTACTTCCTTAACAGGACACCTTATATTGCAAAACAAACATAAAATGTTTAAAAACTTCATTAAACTTCTAAGAGCTTATTTTAATACTATTTACTGGATGTAGGAAATTTTAAAAGGCATTTGGTGCCCTTTGCTTTCAATCTTGCCTGCATTCTGGGGAAATCAGAGAGCTCAGAATTTATCACCACGATTACACAGTCTCTTGAACACAAGTCTCCTGTTCATATAGAGAGGAATACTGCTTTAAACATTTGATTTCTCTGAATCTCTAAGGATTCCCTGTTGATATTCCTAAAGGTAAATATTCTGTAAATATTATAGCAAACCAGAATTTTAAAGTCATTCAGTTGTTCTTCGAACCTCCTCCTCACTTGTACATTTCATATAAATACACTTTTTGTTACTTGCTGACTCTGCAAACAGATTGTGAGTCCTTTCTGTTGGATCAGTGAAGGACATAGGAACCTATAAGACTGGCTTCAAGGAGAAGTACTGGCCAAAACCCACAAGTTGTCTTTGTATCAGAGCAAAAATAAAGAGAACAGTAAAACTGTACCTGCCCCTTCTTTTTTAATTTAGTATTTTATTTAAAGTTAAGAAAAGTTACAAGTAAGGAGAAGTGAAGGCAAACCAGTGAAGGCAAACCAGTGCTCCAAAACGCACCTGGTAGAACTTCAAACCCTGTAATTCTCATGGCTGGGAAACTGAAACCTGATTCTTTTGTATATGGGTATCAAGTATATTTGAGGTTGTAGTATCAGTCTTCAATAGAAACATTAGCTGTTTGGGGTATGTTCTGCTGTTAATTTATATATTATGAATATATTAACAAGATAGGAATATTAATTCCTAGCTCTATTAATAGTGTAAAGTAAAAAGAGTGGATGCATCCATTTAATCTTAAGTTTGAAACAGAATTTGGATCCTTGAAATATGCTGAGTTGAAACAGCAACATCATCACTGGAGAAAGAACTTCAGAAGCAGCAAAAGACCCATGAGAGAAAATGCCCTAGTGGAATTTATAATGATGAAATACTTTCCATATCTATTTTGAAAATTAATTTTGAAGGCACCAAGCCTCAGCCACTGAAATAAAAACAAGCTGTGCTGTTCCATGACACTGGCTTGGAGGTATTACAAGGTCTTGTAAAACGTAAGGAAGAATTTCTATAGTGGCCTGAACATTTCTGTAGAAAAACCTCAATTACCAGAGTGGCACTGAGCCAACTTCAATCAGTGCAAGAGTGGCTGGAAAGATCATGGACACATTTTATGCTAAAATCACCTGCACAAACCCACAGGTGTGATGTGGTTACCAAAACAGGACGGAGTTTCAGGGAGACTTTTCTAAGATTTTATTTTTCTTTTTTGGTATAAATAAATTCTTCGTTATTTTAATTAAACTGGCCTAAATAGCAGAGGCCAATGGTTGAACAAAACTCTTACATTTCATCGGAAAATTAAGATAAAGCACAAAGGCAAGCAGAGCTGGTTAGGGGCAAGAGTGATTTTGTATAAGCTTAATTTTATAATGACTGTGGTCAGTGCACACCTTTTCCTTTTTTCCCCAACATAGATATATGGCCGAGAACAACCACAACACTGTTTTAACCACAGCAAGTAGAGCTACTCTGAGTAAATTAATCATTTACTACTTGGCAAATACAATTTACTGGATGTCTAATTAAGCTTGAAGTTAATGTTTCTTTTGACAAAATGAAACTCCCATTCTTCACTTTGTGTGAGTTCTGGTTTTGTACTTTCTGTTCACTGGTGGTAAGAGGCTTCAAAACTGAAAAGGTAGTAAACATCCCCAAAATACTCTGGCAGTTTGCCTCACCTATGGTGATGGGTGACAAACTGCAGGGACAAGGAATTCAACATATTCCTCCTTCAGGTTCCTTGGATTTTTGCTGTAGTTGCCAGCAAAGATGTGGAATTGCCAATATTGGAGATGTTGGATTTTGTGGTGTGAATGACCATGGGCAGCAGCCTGGATACAGGCCAAATAAGTCATTTCACGTGTGCCAGGAAGCAGCCTTCAGAGGGCAAGAGCTTTCAACTGCTCTCAGCCTGGATGAGTTTTAAACCGACGTTCTCTATGTGGGGAACACATTACCTTGATTAACTCCTGGCCATCCAGATCCTGGTCAGTAATGTAGTTTTCTAAAAGGCATTCCCTTGTTTTCAGTAAGCTTCAATAAAGGTTCTAAAAATAAGTCTACACCAGTGATGCAAGAGAAGTTCTATTACATGCTTATCATTTGTTCTTCCACAGAGGTGGCTTCCCAGCATATTGAGTATTTCCAAGGAATGAAGTGGACTGGTTTGGCAGACCTGAAGAGCCTGAATTAGTTCACTGGTTAGAGCATTTGAACACTGCTGATGTGGAACAGCACAGCCAGCACTGTAAAGGTAGGTCTGTTCAGCCTGAACAGAGCAAGTCCTTGATTTCATGCTTTTTCAGGACCTCGAGCTCCTCATTTAAATTACTTGTGGTGTCAGTTAGTGTTAATTAATACATGGAGATGGAATGATGGATTTAATGTAATCATCTAATGCATTTTAAGGAATGAGTATTAAAAGCTAGTGTTAGCTAGGAATTAGTATTAAAAGTTTGGTGTTCTGTGTTAATTACCAAGAGAGTTCTTTTAAATATGATACAATTTAAAAACTAAGAGTTTAAAAACTATTTAGTTTCATTCTCTGCATTGATGTACCTGTGTAGGCGCGTGTTTGGGAAGAGGAGTCAAATTTAGGGCTCATCGTACCTGCTAGTGGTTTTATCTGAAGCTCTTTATAAGTAATTAATTTCAAAGTTATCCAGTTTCTTACTGAGTAAAATAATTCCTCAAAGCTACAGTCTACTTTTCCCTCAGATGGTGCTCAAACTGATTATTTCATATCCTGTTATCTTGAAGTCACTGTGTAAGACAGAGCTGTGCTGGTGTGACTGGAGGGCAGAAGAGGCAGAGATCTGCCACACTGCAGGCAGCCTGTGGAGGAACTCTGCCGGCAGAGTGCTCAGAGAGGCAAAACTGGTGCTGGGAAGCAGCTCTTGTTGTTTCCTCTCTGATCTATAGTAACTCCTTTAAATCAGTCCATTAGTGCCTATGTGGAACAGGGCTCAAGCATGTTCTCTACTCTCCACGACATTTACTGACACCGTTTTAGTTCTGACATGGGAATGGTACACCTGGGCATTGCTGCCCGCTATGATAGGATCACAGGGAATGGAAGGAAAAGCTCCTCAGCCCTTCCAGTAACGCGTATATCTACCAGTATAGGTACTGTTGTACAACTATCAATTCGGCTGAGAATAGAGCCCCTAATTGCTTAAGATTTCACAAATAAGGGCTAATAAAGTGATTCAGAAAAAAAACAACTGGGGATCAAGATATGCTCTTAAAATTACTGTTTCAGCATATAGCCTGAAATTCTCTGTTCGCAACAACTGGAGCACTATTTAAATAATAAAATGAAAAAAACTAGATTTCTCCCAAGCATACTAAATATCAGTAACTTCAACATGAGAAAAACTGCATCATACAACTCCAAGCTGGAAATACTGATTCTGCCATTCCTTTCTCTACTTCTGATTTTTGCTTTCAGACAGGTAAACTAAAAATCAATTTCCCTTGCATTGCTTTAGAGAGGGACAGGAATCCCAAGCATGGAGAAAGTTAGATATACCTGAACTCCACATTTCTTTTCTCAGATAATCAATTAGAGAAAAAATACCTAAAATCCAGTTCAAGTGCAGCATTTCCAAGATAACCCACACATTAGGATGGCTTTCTTTGGCTTTTATGGCTACATGCTTACCTCTGGTGTCAGTGCATTGTTATCTGAAGTCTGACTTGACAGCAAAATATGTGTGAAACCATCTTCTTTCCGGACTACTATGTCCCTGAACCGGCAGTTACTTTCATTTTGACGCACGCTGTATCTTAGTCTCTTATCGAAGACATAATCTTTCTCCCCATCTAGTTTCCTTTTCACAGTGCTGTGTAGATTCAAGCTTCCATTGGCCAGAGAAGAACCTTTCAGATGGAAAGAATCAAAGCACAATTATGTCTCAATCTTCAAAGAAATGGAGCGATACTTTCTATAGGCTTAAACACAGCTCAGTATTTACAGTAGCCTCTACGTGATAAATGTGATAAATCAAAAATGTGCTTGGCTAGTCAAATGTGGCCTCAAGCCATTCTTACTATATGCCAACATGCAGTACTTTTTGTTGGCTCATCAGACAACCTTTAAATCCAACGAACTGCATAGCATATAGGACTGGGACTGTTGATGGGATGCAGTTCTGCTTTGAAAAATCACTTTGAAAAGTGATTGTACCATCTGAATTTGGGGTGATCAGCTTTGGAAAAACTTGACAGGTTTAGTCCAAACCCCGTCTTTCAAATGTACATCTTCTTCCTTTCATGGTGGCCAAAAAGTCATCATCAGGTTCAAGTGACAACCTGAATACACAGTTGTGGCACATCTCTACGTGTCAGTAAGTTAGGGGACTGCTTACTAAGCTGCCACAACGGGCACTCTCTTCCACTTACGCTTGTGTTAAGTGTTACAAACAGCAGTTGGCCATCCTCTGCTCTCACCCCAAGCTTCCACTCATTACATACATTCCCTCCTTAAAAACCAATGTTATAGTATGTCAGTTTTAAAAGACAGTTTATTCTGACTTACACTGTGTATGAGCTGTAAACTATTACTTTGCTTATGTTTACAGTTCCTCTGTAAGACAATATATAATGACTGTTAACAATGCTGAGCCAGAGTGTTGAAAACATCTTTGCGAGATTTTTATGCAAAGCTCTTTTTCTAATTACAGACGTTTCACGCTATTGTCATGAAAAATAAAGCAGAGGCAGGTCGTTGAGGAACTGAGATTAAAGTCACTCTGTTCATTGTAATAGTTTCGATGAAGAAAATTATCTCAGCCAAACCCAGCACATTATCCAAATCTGTCTGTTGTTTAAATAGACATAAGCCCAAGAGATGCTGTATTTAAGACAGGCCAAGAAAGCTAAACAAAAACACCTTTGTTGTTCCATTCTTTACTCCTGCCAAAGCTGACCTGTTCCAGCTTCTGGAATCAAATAGCCAGGAATTTTTAAAGGGCAGATGACATGAATATTAGAACATAGATATAAATGTTATAGTTTAAATGACCTCTACGCAATTAAAAATCCTCTTTTGGAATAGAAATGAATGGCGAATTCGTAAAAGATGAGCCTCTAAACCAAAATCACTTACCTTCATTTTAGATCAGCTATGTTTCCACCTGATGTTTATACGCAGGAATCTGAAGTGTTTCATACCTCTCAGTTGGCAATGGCCCGTGGAATTGCTCATAGCGTGTGAAATGCCTACATGTATGCTGCAGTTATGACATGTGATGCTGAAACACACGTTGTGCTTAATAGTATTGCACTCGTGCATCACTTGGCCTCATCACGTAACATGTGTATGTGTGTACATGTATTTACACAGGGAAATGCATGTTTGTTAAAAAGTCTGCCATTCCAGTCAATCACAGAACTCTTTTTCATTGTTAAATTAAGAGATACCGTCTAAAGCATCGCCTGTACTACACTGAATAGAGGATGTAACTGGTGTGATACAAACACTGACAAATTACATCAGATCATCAATTTGAAAAAACATCATCTGAAGCCAGCAGAATTTGAAATTTGTTTCCATTTATCTGCAAGTGTAGAAATCACCATGTGCTTGAATTTTTAAAATTATGAATAATTTCTTATTTTTGATAAGGTTTTGCTACTGCATATATTTTGACAAGTATTCTTACAAACAGAAATGAACTTGTGAAATTACTAACAGAAAACTAATATCATTGGGAATATACTGAAGCAAAGTAATTATCTGACTGAGGCAGACTTTTAAATATTGCACTTTTATCTATTCAGTCTTTACTGTGTTGCTTGACCCAGCAATAAGCTACGAAGATGTGAAGAGTTAAATATCCTAAAAAAGTGTAAAGAACTTACAAAATCAAAGGCACACATGAACATTAAATGGAAGATGTACTATATCTACCTACTGTTGGAAGATTATGCCACATCTATTTTTAATACTGATGGGAAGAGAACAGTAGAAGATTAATTCTCACTGACAATCCAGCTCAAAAAGCCTCACAGTAATAATTTTAATTTTTGTTGTATTCTTCATTTGAGAAATATATTCAGTTTGTAAATTAACATATGATGTAAGAAACTATAGCTCTTGTCACAGTATTTTAACTGTCTGCATGCTAACTGACAGAAATTCAACCAGAGGAAAGATCTGAACTAAATATGAGAGAAACATGAATGCAAAAGTGACATTTCCAAGAATGGATGATTAACAAATCAACATACAGAGAGTAAATTGTTGTTTCGGTGTATATAGAGCATTCCTCTAATCTTGTTTAATCTGACAAACTTGAGAAAACGATCAGCAAAATGTAAAAACAAGACTCATGTGAAACCAGGCCCATTGAACATGTCTGTGCATGGGTATGATGGAGCTCTGGAGGCACTAAAGCACCCACATTGTCTCTGCATGAGTGTTAACACTTAGCACCTGCTTAATGCGCACAAGGGTGACAGTACCTTAGTATGTCAATACGAAAAGGAGTGCGACACAGGAAAGAAGAGACATTCTCAAAGCAATCTATACTGCATCTGAATCAAATTAGGGTGTCACAAATTAACTAAGGAAGCTTTAGGTACCCCTAAGTGTGTTTCACTGGCTGAGTAGTGAGTATTTGATAGTCAGACTAAGTATAAAAAAAAAACAAACCAGAATGGCTGAAAATATTCCTTCATTTAGTGGGATTTTAATCTAATTATTACTTTGATTTTAATCAGCAGTAGAACTTGTGGAACATCTAAACCAACACTGATACTTTGAAGAAGCTTCAAAATACTTTTTGAAGGCACATAAGATACTCCCAGACCATTGGTGCATCTAGTAATCGTTCTCCAAGAAGGCAGTAAAGGATGCTGCTTAAGGAGAAAATGTAAGCTTGGCCACTTCCTGCAGTCTTTTCCCCTAGTATCATCCCTAGGTGGTGTACAGAAATAGGAGAGGATTCGTCCTTCCTGTTTCCTTCAGTTTGCCCATGGACCTGCTCGTGGATTTCTCTAATCCCCTTCTGAGCCTGTTGACGCTGTCTGTCTCCAAAGCCTTCTGTGGTATGAGTTTGAGAAGTTGTAGCCGCTACACAGAGAAGAATTTTCTTTGATCTGTGCTTTTATCTGATGTTCTACCAGTTTCAGTGAGTGGTCGTTAGTTCTGCTATTGAGGGATTTAGTGAACAACAGTTCTGCATTTACTTTATCTGCGGCCTTGATGACTTTGTAAACTGATCATACTCCCTCTCAGACTCTCCCTTGCCCAGTTGAAGCCTCCTTTATTCTTGTGATTCTCTTCATTTTAGTTGCCTATTCCTGCACCTTCTCTAGTATTCCACTACTGTCAAAGGGTACAACAAGGAATGATGTTACTGCTGCTGCTGTTGTTAGTACTAGAAAGAGTCTGAACACTTCAGATCAAGTCTGAGACTGGGGCTCCACTATACTGGACATTAGAACTTTATGGTCAGAACAGCTGCAGCAGACAGAAAGTAGAAGGGGAAGGGGTGAAAAGATGGCAATGAGCCTCAGATCACTCAATGCTTTAGTGGTCTTGGATCTACCCATCTCATTCCACTGCTTCTACCCAGTAGAAAAGGACACCTCAAGCCACTGTTATTTTCAGACCACCTTTTCTTTCTTAGTGTTCACTGCAGTCAGATTAATGGAGAAGTCTGTGCCAACCCCTACACAGTGATGATGGTACCAGCATCTGGGTAAGCAGCCATACGGTGAACAGACCTGATGAACTGTTCTGGCTGGAAACTCACCCTTGCAAAACCATGGTTAATTCAGATCTGGTCCACCTTGTAGCCTTAGGAGTGTTATAACCAGTGCGGGGGAAGAGATGGGAGTAACGATAAGGTTATTGTGGGAAGGAAAGCTGGACCATTCCATTTGTTAGCAGCATGCATTCATGCTCAATGAAAACCATCATGGAGCTAGGGCTTTAATTTTTCTAGGTGAAATAAACTATGCTCCCTTACTCTCCCTGGTAAAACAGCTTGGCATTCCACAGTCTTCCCAACAGTCTTTCTCTGTTTCCTTTCTGTCTTTCTTGTGGGCAATGGTTAATACTGTACATACTTAAAAGCAGTGTTCTGTTGATATTTACTAATAATTTCAGACTTCTCCAGCTAAGGGAGCATCTGTAAGATATCTAAAAGCAATGAGTTTTGATCCAAACTGAGAAAGCAAGCATATTTGGTTGTCTCTAACTGCCAGTATTGCTCCAGAATAAATAAACCAGAACAAGCTAAAAAAACCAAGAGGAAGCAGTGACTAAGTTCACTGAGAGTATTTAAAATAAGGGCACCATGAGACTACAAAGATTTTCGTAATGGAGAAAAAGAGTGGTTAGTGACAAGCAAAATTCTTCAGCAGATGGTACGGATATAGAGTGATGTAGAAAAAGGAAAGAGAAAATTAAAAGGGGATGTTCTTCGATGCTGCAAAAAACTCAACAAAACAATCACTCAATTACAGCATCTGGAGAAACAGAAATGTGATAAAAGGAGACAACAAATTTCATCAGAAAGAATGGTATTGTTAGCTCCTGGGAGCACCAGTGGATGTTTTCCCCCAGAGGTTCTCCACATTTTCCAGTTCACAGACCCTCTGATATTGTTGGTAAAGATGAATCTACTCTCCTTACGATGGGATGTGCAGAAGGTCAAGAGAAGTTTTGGCAAGAAAGGTCTGTCCGAACTTCAGCAAGGTTCCAGGCCTCAATTAGGGTGCATATATGATTTTGAGCATACATCTGTAAGTATACAGACATCTTTCTGGGGCAAACAGCTTCTTGGTATGAGTTTTATCGATAGCTTGAGGAGGAAACACTTGTTCTCAAGTGGATATATACACAAAACCAAGCACAGAGTGGTGGAAGCCCATTCAAGGAGCCATCAAAAACTAGTTTTCAAATAGCTGCTGTTAGTTTCAACAGAACTGGCACACCACAAACAAAATAGATGTATTTTGATTAGTTATAGTTTATAAATTATTAATGACAATTAATATAACACTGGTAGCAGAGCTGGGCCTACAGCTGGGTTTTCAAATTGTGAGGCATTTTTGAGTTTTCCAAATCTAGGCTTCATCTTAAAGTTCCTATATGCGTTTTCTGTGCACTCTTACACGTAGCTGTGAAGTGAGTCTGACACTCACTTGGGCTCCTTACAGGCAATCTCAAAGCTGACACATATGTCTACTTCCTCACATTCTGCCCAGGGCTGCCCAGGAGCCACAGCTTCTGGAAGCCAAACCCAGGTCCTCCAGGCTCCCACTTTGTTCTACATACAAGTGCCCTGGGACCGTTGATGGTCCATGCCAGGCTTTTGACTTCCAGACTGTGGCAGACTGCCTGAAACCTCTGGCATAGCTGGCTGCCTCAGAGCTAAGTGTGGGAGTCCTGCCAAGCAGACTGCCACACTGCTCCTGCTCTCAAGGGACGAAGCCTTGGGACCTTGGCTTGGATTTGGATAAAGTTTTGAAACTCAAGATGTTTGGAACAAACCTGCTGTTACTCAATAAATTGGCATTTTCCTCTGAAACGTTCTGAATTTGTCATGTGTAAAATTTCAGACAGGTTCTAGTGTGACATCTATCCTGATGAAAATGAGTCTGTGATACTAACAGGACACGTGGCAGAATCACAGTGGCATCTTCTGTGCTCAGTAAGCACACTCGCTAGGAGTGTGAATACTGAGGGAATTCAGTAAATTGTTGGGCTTGTTGAAGAGTAGTGCAAGTTTCTTCGATGTGACATTTCAAATGATGCAAAATCCAGTATCAGGAAATGTGACTTCTCTCAAATTTGTAGGGCAATACTAGAAAAAAAGACGGTATTTCAATTTTGACCTTTCTTCACCAGTTTCTGTCTGTTCTTTCTTTGGTAGTCTCATCTCTCCTCTTTGTAGTTTTCCCCACTATGCATGTGCTGGGTATCACAAAGCAAGACGAGAGGGACTTCTGACCTTGGGAGTGCTGCTGAGTGTGGTTTTTTCAGATGAGAATCAGGTAGGGATTTAAAGATCTCTTGCTATTGCCTACAGGGAGGTCAGAATGCAAGGGAAAAAGGAGAGCAAAATACAGAACAGATGTGATGGATCTGGAGAATGCAAAAAACACCATAAAGAAATGTTTCAAAGGAGGTGCATACATCAGCTGTTAGGCCAGGAGCTCTCTATGCATGGCAGAACACCTGGCTGCTTAGGCAAAGCAGCTTTCTGCTGAAATAGAGCTGTCTTACGGAGATTATTCAAACAAGGGCTGGTGGATGCCATTTGTGAGCTCTTACAGGGACAAATGAAAGGCTCATTTGGCCTTAATAGTTCTTTGTGGCCCTCTAGTCCTTCATTAGGAGAAAAAAGAAGAGATTCTAAAATACAACAATGAATGCATTTTAAAGATGCATTTTGTATGAGAACTTCTGCAGTGAGTAACACAAAACAAACAATTAAAAAATCTTCATTAGAAACAGTAAGAAAGCAAAGCAAACTAATCTTATACACACCTGTAATTAGATATGCAAATCTTTTTAAAGAAGCAGGCAGCTATTTAAGTAGTCTTGTATGAGCTCAAACTCATCAAAATACAAAAGCCTGCACTCTCAAATTTAAGTGTCATAGACATCAGCAGGGCTACTTTTGCATTTAAAGCTGACCAAACATTTTGCTGATTTGGGAGCCTTTAGCAAGATATTTGATGTGTGGATTGAAAGATCCCAGTAGTTACAGGATGTAGCCAGTAAGACTAGGCAAGGCCAGTTCTACTTCCCAAATCAAGTAGCATTTGCTGGGTTGCCAGTAGGGTGGAAAATGGAAATTAGGGTGATATAATTTAAGTTGACTTTTGAAGTTTTTGGCAGGGCAATTCACAAGAAGCTGTGAGGGAAATGAGAGCTATCATGGGCCACAGAAAGTGGCTAATAAAAATAAATAATTGGAACAAATGCTTACTTTTCATTATGTCAAACGATTAGTAGTTGGCTGCCCCAAGGACCTGCAGAAGGATTAGTTTATTTAATGTATGTATTAATGAACTGGGAAGAGATGTACGAGAGGAAAATTTGAAGGGAATACAAAATGAGTAGAGTAAAAACTAGGAAAGATTTTGAAGAGCTTCACTGAGTCATAAGAAAAACGTGAATTAGCAACAGTAAAGCAGATTAAATGCATGATGAAAAGAATCATGCATATAGCTGCATTCTAAATTAACTGTAACCAGCAAGGAAAAAAACTTCAGAGCAACTGTGTATTACTCAATGAAAACCTTTATGCAGTGTGTAACACCAGAAAAAATAATCCTCAAAAGACTGAATCGCCACTGTACCAGTAACCAGTAGGAAATCATTTGGAACAGCTCCTGCTGTTTTTAAAAGGTATTAAAAAAACCCTCCACACACCAAAGGCACAAGAGGATACTGAAAACTACCAGGAACCTGGAAAGACCTCCACATGGTAGGCAGGCTAAAAAGGCTGAGGCTGCCTGCTGACTGACAGGACATCATCCACTTGATCCCTTTGTGTAAGGACAAGAGCTTATGCAATGAAAGCAAAGGTCACAAAACCCCAAACAAACCCCCAAACCCACAAACCTGATCAAAGAATATGTGTATCTCATTGTGTTAACTCCTGGAGGCTTTAAATTTGGTAGGATTAGAAAAAAAAAAGAAAAAAAGGTTGGACACATACAGATAATGAGAAGCTACTCAGTTGCATTAAGCTGAATAGTATTTATAAAGAACATAAACCTTTGTTTCTTAAGAACTAAGACAATCAGCAACCATGAGGATTAAAAAGAAATTTCTCCTATTTCTTCTCATTCAATTCAGGGCTTTTTGTACCTTCCCACAAAGTATGCCTGTGACTTCTGATGTATCCAGTCACTAACACAGACAAGGACCTAGCAGATCTGAGTACTCCTGAATAGGATGAGCACTAATACTGAGGAACTTGAATGTTACTCATCCACACTTACCAAGATACTTTAGCAAGAGTGGTATTAATTCTGTTTCTAAAATAATCCTGATCTTTGGAGACCGCTGTGTCTGAGCACATGTAACTGAGAAGTGTTTTGGTATTTGGTGATACACAAAACCAAGTTGCAGTATTATACATACCTCAGTCATCATTCCTACTCTCTGCCTTGTCATCATTTCCCCACAAGGACTTCCCACTGCAAAGGCATGTAACAAAGCCCAATTTGCTTCATGTCACTCCGTGGGAAACGGAAGGAGAGAAGCTAACTGATAAAAAATGGTGTAATATATAGGGAATGAGCGTGACACTTGTTTATATGCTTCTAACCATACCACGTGTGTAAAATGACAATGATTTTTTCATGAGTGGGCTCTCTATTTGAAGCTGCTGCAATTAACATCCCCCGCCCCAAAGACTGTAGTTGTTTATATCACATACCAATTCCATTCACAACAGGTGAATCGTTACTAACTTCCAACATGCTGGGCAAATTTTGTTCTCCTTCAGGTTCATTTAAATCCGCGTTTTGCTGTTGTGAGCCATTCCCAAAATGTCTAGAATCCTTTTCATGACTGCCATCTCCATTCTGCAGAACATTATGTGGCTTTTTCAGTGGCATGATCTGTAAACCGCTGGGAGTAGTTCGGTAAGTCACAGTTTTAGCAGCCCTGTCATTAGCAGATGCCGGCTTTGCTGTGTATCCTCTTTTCTGTTTTTGAAGAGATGGGTTAATTCTCTTCCTTTTGTGTGTTGACCCTTTAGGCTTCCCACTTTCAGAAGGTCTATGTGATATTTTCTCAAGAGATGACCCTCGGCTTTCCCGTAAAAACTTAGGAGCCTGTTTCCCATGTCTTGATCGCTTTTCTCTAGTAACATGTAGTCCATTGAACTCATCAATAAATTCCTCACAATGTAGTAGATGATGTTCAGGTTCCCAGGTGTCTTCATTGCTTCCGTAGCCTTTCCACCTGATGAGATACTCCCATTTGCCCTTCTTGTTCTTCCTTTTGTCTACAATCCTCTCTACCTAAAAGAAAAATACAAAAATAACATATTAGAAAGAAAAATAGCCTGGACATGAAAACGGTACTCTTCATTTACAGGTAGGAAGGCCTCCCTGACACTGCAAAGGCGCAGGAGCGCTCATGAGATTCTCTGAAAATATAATGCTGATAACATGAACTGGCTCTGACATGTAAAACACACTCAGGGTACCCAAAATGTAGTGACCTATTTCAGAGATTTAAATTCACCTTATTGTTGTAAGATGTTCCCCAACACTAACACTTCCATTGGATCCTATACAGACCATGATGATTGCTGATGAGAATCTACTTGTGTAAACTGCTTAACACAATGTTTAGGAATCAGCGTTGTATGTTTCTGTTCAACAGAAGCTCCCATGAACAGACCTGGCAATACAGGAGGGGAATGCAGTAGCCCCCATGGTACTCTGACAGCAAAGTCATATCCCCTTCTGAAAGCATTAAGGAAAGAAATAAAACACCTGATCAAATCTGATCTGGAAACCTGCAATAGCGACAATGTAAAGAAACAAGAGAGAGCCAGATCATTTATGAAAGCACGATTTTTTTGTAAATCTCATTGTAAAATGAGACTATTAAGCCACCTCTTATTTGAGAGAGCTAAAGCAAGCATCTTTTGCTATATTGGCAGTTACCAATCATTATCCTGAATCCATACATGCATTATGTCCCTATAAACATCCCCATACCCATTTTTTTATGAGTGCAGTATTTGAGTAAATCAACAAAATCTGTGAGTGCATAAATTAAAAGAAAAAAAAAAGAGGCAAATGAAAGGCATAAAGGCAGGATTTTTTATAGACGTTATGAATTTCAAGAACCTATGCTAAAGAAACGTCAGTTTAAGGAACATTTCTGCAACAAAGGATAAGGGACTATATTGGGACTGCAAGGTGAAAGTGAATTTACAGTATCGTGCTTCTGTGGAAAATGGCTTGTACAACTGAAGGAATGTTTGTGCCATCTCAGCACTGGCAAAATCTCAACTAGAGGAAGAGTGCATTATTAAAACCCAAGCACAGTCAGTGGATAGCAAGTCATGGGTTTAAACTGCATTAACTGAAACTTGAGATCAAGACATTACCAAAAGTGTTTAAACGGTAGTTAAGAATAAACATAAGAACACGTAACATGGGGAAGGTACGGAGGGGTTTTAGAATGGCTTTTGTTAGACTAACATCTGCCATGAAAAGTCACTGCTAGAAATTCAGGTTATGATGAGAAAACCTTTTGAGGTCTCTGACAAGTTTTATTTTCAAATTCTGTTATTTTTTTTAAGATGTGCCTTGTAAGGGGTAAAGATGTCACTAATGAAAAAAACCCCATTATCATTAACCAAATGCACTACTGTTAATTTAGGGAAATAAATAAGTGGATAGCAAATATAATAGCTTTCACTGCTCTTCAAAGAAAAATCATCTCATGTGAAGAACAACAGTGGAATGTGTATGGAGAATTTAACCTTGAGGAAGGGCAATCATGGCAGTGTAAGTAATTGTTCTTTTTAGGTCCCCTGTTAGAGCAAGCCAGTGGATTAATTCTGTCTGTTCACTGGCTGGAACTGTACATTCATAGAAATCTTGGTGGGTTCCCCAAAGGAGTCTAAATGTAATTAGCAACTAAACATTATACTTCTATACAAATTCATTTACATGGGAACTCTGCTAAGATATCTGTGTCTGAGTCATAGTGGACAGCTTCCTTTTTGCTCTGAATTTAGCACAGTCCCCTTCAGAATTGCTCAGTGTGGCAAAACAATTCACTGAAGCTCAGTCCAAGCAAGCTTGAGATCAGTTGTATGAAAACAGAGAAAAATCCTCACCAAAAAAATAACGAACTGGCATTTTTTTTGTCCTCATTTGGGATCCGCGGCTTTCAATTGTCAGCTAATAAGACTTACTATGAGCTTGTTGACTTTATAGACAGCAGCTGTCCAAATGATCCCTGGCTTTAAAATACTTCCTATTCTTCTATCTGGGACTAACTGGAAAGACTGTACATCAAACCATGGAACTCTGTACTGGCATGTGGGTTGTCTGTGGATTTGTTAATTACTGCAGCTCACTATACCAAGGAGCAAAATACATATATGTATCTCCAGGGGAAAATTGCTGCTAAGCTCAGTAGACCACAGCTATCATTACTGTAGAGAATTTGGGTTAGTGCTACTCTGTCTATAGCTCAACAATACATGCATTCCCCTCCTCTATTAAATTAGGATTTTGGAGATGGAATACCATTTCTGCATTGGGTTGATGCTACCTCGGAGTAACTTGTCTTTCTTTGGAGGGATTACACCAGTCGCATTCCCCCGCTTGCTCACTGAAGGGAGAGCCTCAGAAAAGACAGACAAATACCTTGCCATTTCCAGAATCATATACAAAAACCATCTCTTCAACCTCACTTCTTTTCACTCACACACACATCTTTAACTATACCGATTTCTGATTTTCACATTATTGCTCTGCTCCAAGGAGGAAAAGTGAAGGCAAGAGGTTTTGTGAAGAGCATTTTTTTAATATGGAGAACACTCAACTATTTTGGTGCTAAGGCATTATGCATTTCAATTAAGAGGAAAAAAAGGAGAAAACATGAGTGATCTTTGTTCCTGGGAAACAAAATGCTGGCAATGGACAATGTGATTAATCAGTTCAACACATCATAAATGGAGAATAAAAGTATTTATGAAATTCTGTAAAATTTAATAAATGGCTTCAGAAATGCATTCAGAAAGCAAATGTATTTGGGAAAGACTAAGCATTGTATTACAGCATTTTCAGAACAAAACTATTAATGTTTCACTTCAAATTCAACTAACAAAACTAAAATAAAGAGGGACAAAATAAACAAAACAAAATGTTTTGTTTCTGGTCAACCCTCTTTTCACTTTATTGTTCTGCCGTGCAGAAAATGAGAAAGAAATGTGGGTTGATCCAAAATTAGTTGTTTTCCTTGAGTTTTTTTGTTCCATCATACCCACTGGCTTGACTAATGATGCAGAAAGGGGCTGAGTAGATATTTGCCTCGTCCTCATTACTGCCTCATTGTTCATTACTGAATGCATTTGAGGGTAGCATCGAACATTCTTGACCTCTCAACATGGTCCCTTTTCTTTCTCCAGGGTTTAAGTTCTTCACTGATATTTATCCCCTTCAAAGTGCCACTGCTCCTTCACTGCATGCAGTGAAGTGCTTCAGTGTAGGCATAAATATCAGGGTTTTATCCACACCTGGTATTGTCTGTCCCATTTTCCTTTTACTCACAGTCCACATTATTAACAAACACCACTACTTTGTGGGTTTTTTAACAATGCGTATTTGTTTTAACAGGTAGTATACATGAAGTAATAATCCTTCTGCATTTACTTAAGGTTACACAAATTCATATGAGTTTTCTTAATGAAAAAAATCCTGTGACAACTAATGATTAATAAAAGTAATACTTTATTCCCTCCCTACAATAAGCAATACACAGTTCTGAGAATATGCAGAAAACGTCTACGGCTTCAGTGTCTGACTTTCCATCTCCCCCCTCAGTTCTGTCTTAATGAGAACTGAATAACATCTTCCCAAAAGCGACCTTGGTAGTTAAAGAGTTTGCCAAATCCCTGAATTCACTGTATTTGCTTTGGAAAACTATGTAGTTACATTTAATAAAAGCGAAATGACTGCAAACAAAGTTTGCAGGGGGATCACCGTTAAAAGAGTGCTAGGATTGACAGATGCCATTACTTGTCTAGATTCTCTCTCTCCCTAACCCTCCTGGTTAATTCTGGATGAATTAAGGTGCTGGTAAGTTACCATATAAATATGTTTAAAAGACCAAATAGAACAAGACCATGGCATCTGTGCAAATGCATTTGCAACGCATTTTTTAGCTTCCAACTAGCCTTAAACCTAGCTTTATACACAGCTGCACAAATTGGGATGAAAATTGTAATAAAAGCCTTTTTTTAAAAAAATTGTATTCTAAACTTAATGTGAAAAAAATCCCCTAATAATTTACAGTAGAAATATGTAATCATCAGAAACTTAGTGTTGTGCTTATACATGCAGAGTACAACACAGACACATCTTCCTTCACAGAAGATTCAGGGACAAAATCACTCATTTTACACCACAGTGTTATTGTCCATTTATAAGGAAAGAAATCTGGGCTAAATTAAAAAAGGGTAAGTCCTATTGAATTGTTCCCACAGATGTAACTGTAAAGTCAGAGCAGAGTATACTCATCTCACCGTTCACAGCTCTGAAGAGCATAAATAAATAATCCTTATGCTCAAAAAACACCTTCCAGGAGACAGTGAACTTCCACAAGGGTTTGGAAGACTGCATATCTGCTTAGTGATTTCCATAATAAGTACATGTCATCTCCTCTTTTCGCCATGCATATCTATGTAAACAACTCAAACTGTGATCTGTGATGCTCAGATGGTCTCTGTTAGTGCGCTGTACAGAACAGCAGACTGACTTCATGACATACACTAGAAAAACTGCTTTTCATTACTATAAATTACAGGACTTGTACTGTTTTACGTGTTTTTTTCATTGAAGGTCTTTGTCCCATGTTGTGCCTCGGGTGTTGGAAGGGTATTTGAAGAAACTGCCAAGGCAAGAAAGGCAGCAAGATTTCCGAGAGAGATAAAGGCCATCTGATTCAACATGTCTGCCTTCACAAAAATCCATTAGTGCCCTAACTTCCTCCTTTTTGTTACCTTCGCTTTAAGAAATAATGTATTTGACTAGTTGTAAATCACTTGCATTTGTAACTTATTTGTGTTTCTCTTGTATTTAATTTCTCATAATCTGGTAATTGAAGTATTTCTTCCACATGTACAAAAAATACGACACTGTATCTCCCAAAGCAGTCAGCATTCACTTTCGAAAAATAATAGCAGAATTGATGCTCTCTCCAAACTCTGACCCAGTTTAAAACCAGAGTAGACCCAATCAATGTTCCAGTGTTGTAACCACCCCCCCAC